CGCAATATATTGGGATATATCGTATCGTGACCCCTCTGTTATGATATGTATCGTATCGCCAAATTCTTGCCAATACACAGCCCTAATAGTGACCCTCACCCTGCACTACAGGGGTTTATAGCGCATAACCACACTTCCTTAAAAAACATGCATCTAAAAGCTGTAATGACTATAATGTTTTATTAAAATATAAATGTTGACAGATTTGGGATGCACTAGATGCTGGGCGCAGGTGCGATGGATTGTACCTGACACAAACTAATCTTTTTGAATAAGCTGGAATAGAATACTTACTTTTTGCATTTTTAAAATGTAAGGAATAAAAAAAATACAGATAACTACATGAAAATGTATGGAGTAGAAGTAAATGTTGTATTTGTACTTTGTTACTTGACACCTTTTCCCTCGAGGAGCAGGACTGGACATGTCTGCTATAGGCTTCAGCCCAGAGACAGCTCTGTTTGTGTGTGGAAACAAGGAAATAATCATCAGCTGTACATCTTAAATTAACTTTAGAAGAATATCTGATTCAAAATGGCAGCAAGCCAGCTGCACTTAAAAAAGAGCAAAAATTTTAAAAGGCTATCATGTGAAAATGGCTGAAAGTGGAACCGCCTACCATTGAAGAATGGCTTGCTATTGTGCATGAAATTTATATAATGGAAAAGATTGCATTCTYTCTCATAATTTAAAAAGATAAATTTTATAGAATTTGGTCAAAATGGTCTGAGTATGTAAAGCCTGTAAGGTTTTTATTAGTCCACTTGCCCCCACCTACACACTGCCTTTATTTTAAGATACACCGTGTTTACACCAAGGTATGTTGTTGTCAAGTAAGCCATCCACTGCTTTAAATGTTTTATTTTGTTCATGTTGTTATTTTTCATTTGCTGTAAATAGTTATATGCTTTTGAATAGTCTACCCGCCAGCAAAAGAAATAAAAAGAAAATTACAAAAAAAATTGCAAAAATGTATATGGTTAAATTGGCRTGGTTTTAGCTAAGAGGCGTTCACAACAAAGCTACTCATTGTGCAAAATCTTTGCCTCCAACTGTTGTTTTAGTGTTGAATTGTAAAGCACCTTTCTGTTTTTGTGTCAACAGGTGATGGAGGAAGTGGTCAAACTTTTAGCTCCCATTAATACAACCAAACTGGAGGTGAACGGAGAGGGTACGGACATCGAACTGTGGATGCAGGCTGGGGTACCAGGTCCGTTTAACAACACGTCAATGTGCACACGTTCGGAAATGTCCAAGTTGAGCATATTTTAGATGTAACCAAAAATAGTTTTCTTCGTTATTTTTTGTGATCTCATCTCCTAAATGTGTCGTGTTTCTTTAGTTTTAAATTGTGAGCACAGTGTTAAACAATTTGAGTTGGTCAGATAAAAATTGAACGCATTGGTTTGAAAATGAATTTTACTAAATTGAAACTGAATTTAAAGTTTTGTTTCTGAATTAATTTACTTTGAAACTGTATTTTGGTTTAATAAAAATTCAGTTTGACTACKTTCACTTTCAGTTCCATAATTCAGATTTTTGTGTCACACATCCTGGTCCTTGAGAAAGCCAGGCAGAGTAATCAAACACAGATCCACAGATTTACGTTTCGCTTTGGTGAAGTTTCCCTTCTGTAATGTAACAGAGTTGATGCAATCSACTGTAAAAGTGACAAAAACAAACAAAGTTATTTTTTACCTATATGTAGAAAATGTTACATTTACATCACATCATGGATCAGACGCTGCTGCTAACTGAACCATGACGGGATGTAAATCTAACATTGTCCATAGGTAAAATTAATCACTGCAATAGAATAACTTTGTTTGTTTTTGTCACTTTTACAGTGGATTGCATCAACTGTTACATACAGAAGGGAAACTTCACCAAAGTGAAACATAAATCTGTGGATCTGTGTTCGATTACTCTGGCTGGCTTTCTCAAGGACCAGGATGTGACACAAAAATCTGAATTWTGGAACTGAAAGTGAAAGTARACAAACTGAATTTTTAATAAACCAAAATACAGTTTCAAAGCAAATTAATCCAAACTCAAAACTTTAAATTCGGTTTCAAATCATTAAATTCAGTTTCAATCTAGTGAAATTTATTTTCAAAACAATGCATTCAATTTCAAATTATGCACATTCAGATTCAATCTGAGCAATTGAAATTCAACTCCTGCTGGCACCAGATTTATCCCACAGCTATGTCGTGGAATAATGAGCTGAACTGGACGATATCAGCAGTGAGATTTTGAAACAAATAATTAAACACCAGGTTTTCTTACAGTGTCATTGAATCTTAATCATAAAAAGTTTTCTGAACGTTTAACAGCTGCTGTGGAGAAACTGAGGGGTCAGAGGACTGAGTTTCTTCAGCAGTGCTGCAATCAGTTTGTTCGTTTGCTCAATATCTGTGTAAAAGGGATGCAAGACATTCTGTCTGAAAACATAAATTATCAAAGAAAGTTCATTTGGACGCAAGTTTTTTGTAGTCTTTCTGATCTTTGGTCCTTTTGCATCATAATATTAGTTCAACATAAAGGCCCTGTCACACTAGATAACTAATGAACAGCAGGGAAACAAGTAAAACATGCTGGATGGGGGTCCTGGAAGACCAGGAATGGGAACCATAAGGGATCAGTCTCAGGTATTACCACAGCAGATTTCAACTCAGTGTTTGTAAAATCACTGTTAATTTTAGTGTTTGCGAGGTAGCTGTGCTGCGGCGGCCATCTTGAATCAGATCGACTCCATAAGTGAATCAGTTGCAGTCGTTCATCCACTCATTGCTTCTGATTATTGATTCTGTTCAATAAGATGTTTTACTAACAGCACAGACAAACGAATACACACAGCAGTGGGTAATAAATCTGAAAGCCACAATTTTACTTGTAAATTTTGATCCAAAGAACTAATCATTAATTTGATTCCAGGCAGCACATTCACAATTACTAATAAACGAAATTAAAATTTAAATGATGGTACGTCTTAGTGACAGGTGGGAAGGATAAACAATTAACTTTCAGTGAACATGTGTGTTTCCTCATTTCAACAAAATCTTGTCATTTTTGTTTCATTTTATTCCCTCTGTTGTCGTGAGACATAAATATATCACGACACCGTTTAAGACTGAGTCAGACAGTTGGGTGTGTTTGGGTTTTTTCCAGAGAGAAAGGAGATACAAATTAAAATGTGAATAAAGAAGAATATTAATAAAGACCCTTGACAGTCTTTGCATCATCGTTCCTAATAATTAATAAAACGAATGTCCTTCATTCAGCCAAAAAGCTGACACATCTGTGTGACTCTTCCTTTGTGTTTCACGCAGGCGCCAGCCTCCATGTTGCAGACAGTCGTTACTTTTGGTTCCACCACAGCGAGGGGGACACCATGACGGTTCAGAACCCTCGGGACATGGACCTCTGCTCGGCTCTGTGGGCCGTGGTTGCCTACGTGGTGGCAGACCTGCAGGACATGCTGCCAAGGTAGCAAGASAACTTCGTTTGTGGATTTAAGTCATTCTCATCACTTAAATCTAACTTTTAACAAAGCGCATGCTCTGATTTTTAACATTTGATTTGACTTTTTTTATTACAAAAATTTTTGAAAAGAGAGTGATGTTTTTAATCTGATGTACACCAATTAACTTATCAGGATTAAAGACCGGTCATAGAGAGGGTTTATCCCAAACTAATGTAAAAATAAAGCTTAAAATTGTTTTTATGTTTACTTGAACATGGAGCATTGCATATTTTCTCAGGTACTGTATTATTATTATTATTATTATTATTATTATTATTATTATTATTATTATTATTATTATTATTATTATTATTATTATTATTATTATTATTATATTGACCTGCAAAGCAGATGGAAAAACCTTTTTGTGAGAAAAATAAATTGTAATGATCCTGTTATCATTTATAATGTGCTTATAGAGAAAAATGTGCATTAAGAAAAAAAAACTGCTTTGTCCTTATTTTTTTCTGAAGGCTAATTTTAATGTTCAGTTTTAAATTTCATGTTGTTTTATCCACTTTCTTTTTATCTTTACTTTATATTAAAATTATACTTTCACACAAAAAAATAAAATGTGACCTTCAAACACCAATACGCTATTAAATGATTAATAATTTTGTTTCAGCGTTCAGTTTTGTTTTCCCCATTTTCATTTCTTAGAAGAAAACATAGGAAGCTGAAACTAAGATGACTACAAATGAAACATTAGTTTATATTAAACAGAAAAAGGAAAAAGAGGGAATCTTAAAAAAATAACTTTCATACAGTAAAGGAAGTGAGAATCCTTCATTCCTCTAAATTTACTATGACCAGACTTATTTCCTGTCGTCATTTCTGTCTGAATAAATGTCTGTATTATTAAAGACTCGTTTGCGTCGGCACTTTTAAAATCTCATCCCCAAGCTGACCCTTAAACCCCAGTTTCTGTGAGATGATTTTATTACAGAAAGACGTGGCTCAAGTTTACTAACCATGATTTACTGGTTATGATCACAAGTTTCCATTTTGAACAATGACCATTAATTCACATAAATTTGAGGCTATGTTTTTCTTCAAACTATCATGAGATAAAATAATTTTTATTTAGCTGGTGCTAAATGATGAAAGAACCCACCTGGTCTTATTTTGTCAAGATTAAGCAAACAGAAAAGGCTCAGCCAAATTCTGACTTTTGCTTGAATTCACCTCCAGAATCTGCTGCAGTTATAAAATTCGTGAATTAGTGGTGCAGATCGCCACCTTGTGGACGACTAAGGAAATGCCTCTTAACTTCCTGCAGTTGGTGATTATTTCCCCAAGTCAAGCTGATAGAAATCAACAAAAATGTACTGGTTTTAAATATACAACATATTTTATTACATGTTTTATACAGACAAACATAAAACAGGTTTTCCTTACTGCCAGAAATATTAAACTATTTTATTTCAGGTGAATTTTCACAGGATTCTGCAGACGGACAGCAGTGAAGTAACGACTCGCATTACATTTGAAGTAATCTGAGTTCAGCATTGGAAAAGAGTTAAATCTCCACAGCTGAACAGCTGACATGTTCATGTGGCCACAGGTCGTCTGGAGTTGAAAACTTTGATTCCGTTTTGCATTGAGGACCGAGCATATTTGGTCAGGAGGGTTCCGGTGCTCTGTTTCTCTCCACAAAGGTCTCTGAAGGACGAGAAAAGGAAGGACTTTAAAAAAAGTAACAAAATCCATAAAAAAAAGAGAACTCACACTTGTACAGACTGCACAGCCATCCTTATGTAACAGTGGTAATTCTGTGCTCAGTCTTTGAGACAGCTTAGGTCACTGGTTTCCAACTTATTTTCCTCAAAGCCAAGCTGAACCCTCCCCCCTCCCCCCCCCAAAACCTCGCCCAAAAATGTGTTCAACCTTTATTTCATCAAAATAGTAAAAGAATGAAGTGAAAAGTTACTGTTTTAATTTGGAAAAGAAAAAAAGGAGTAAAATGGACTTGTTTTACTGATTTTTATGGCACAAGTTTGCACCACGAGCCTCTGCAGAGAGTTACAGGAGAAGCATGCTAGCTGCTAGCTGGACACACGGACTGCGAGATGAACTTTATATTTTCATGTCCCCAACCCAAAACTAACATCACAGGTCGTACGGACTGTTAGCTTCGTGCACGATGAGACGGCAGCCGTTCGGCATTGTGAGGTCGAGCTCTGTGGAGGACCAGCGTGGCTCTGAGTTTTCCACTGTCCTGCTGAATATTACTGCTACTGAGTAATAATTACAAATCCAGCCCAGCCTATTTCCACTGTGCGAGAGGCGGGGTACACCTGGGACAGGTTGCACGTCCATCACAGGGACAAATGAGACAAACAAGCCTCACTCACAGCTAGAGACAATTAAGAGTTACCAATTTACCAAAAAACGCCTGTTTTTGGTCTGTCAGAGGAAACCAGAATAACACATTTATTTCTATTAATTATTAAACTAAAGAAATTGCTTATTGCTAAATAATTTAGCTGAAAGAGAATCTGAAATATTTTTAACTGAACTATTAGTGCCTGATGTTAAATTTTAACTGTTTTGGTGGAACCCAAAATTAGCTAAAGGATTGCTGAAATTTACTGAAGAACCCAAACTGTGAAAACTACARCTTCAGGGGGCAGAGAATAACAAAAATTGCAGAACGAGATACAAGAAGAAAAAATAAAAATAAAAAAGGTAGGGAAGAAAAACAAACATGATGTGAAAGTTTGACCGCAGTCCCACAGCACTGACTGTATGTATGGTGTGATGTCCTCTTCTGTCCACTTCTCTCTGAGTGAGAAGAGGTGGTTGAAGCGCTCCAACGTGTCCTCTGGGAGATCCTCCACCTGCAGCAGGCTGATGGTCTCTGGGTGGGAGGTGCGGTCCACCAGAGAGACTCCCTGGAGGATTTTACAAAGTCAGGTCAGGTTCAGGAAGCTAATCTGCCGCCTCAAATAAACCATGCAGACTGAGAGAAACAGGAGTTTATTTAAAACTAGAGAAATTGATTTCCTGCAAAAATGTGAATGCTTATTATTGAAAACTTAAGCTGAAAGCTGCTGAAATTGAGCTTAAAATATTTAATAGGAATGTTAATGTGAGCTCACTCTGAAAAGCTGAAAGAAGCAAAAAAGCTTAATTTTGCAGAAAAACAGTAAAAWGGAGCACAAATCTAGTTGAAAACAGAAAACAGCTAAAAGTTATGAGCTTAAATAGCTGAATATAGCTGAAAACATCTTTAAGAAGCATAAATAGCACGAGGTATCAGAAATAATAGCAGAAAGAAGCAGATCTATAGCTAAAGTAGCATAAAATAGCTAAAATTAGCATAAAATAAGTTAAAGGTAGCAGCCACAATTTAAAATTAGCACCCAGTTGAAATAGTTATAGTTGAAAAATAGCTAAAACAGAAAAAAAAATCATAAAATGACATAAAAGTAATAATTTGTAGTAAAACAGCTAAAAAGTAGCTGGAATGTTTTAATTAGCATAAGAAAGCATAAGGTGCATAAGTTTGCTGAACTCAGTCAAAAAACTTTGTAATAACTACAAACAATGTGTATTTAGCTTAGAAAAACTAACTTTAGCTAATAGCAGCTAAACATTAGCTAAAATTTCAGCAAGTAGATGAGAACAGCAGAAAGTATCTGTAAGAAGCATAAATAGCACAAAGTAGCAGAAAAAAGCACAAAAAAAGTAGACCAAAGCAAAAGAATAGTGGAAAAAAAGCACAATTTTAGCTGAAATAGCAGAAAAAAAAAGCTAAAACTAGTGAAAAAGTAGCTAAAATTAGCACAGGAAAGTGAAAAAGAGCATAACCAGAACAAAGCGTGTAGGGTGCTGTAAAGATTTAGAAACATTTTAAAGGAGTTTAAGGATGTTGAAAACAGCTCCATTCATTTTCAATGACAAGAAAGTGGCTAAAAAAAGCAAAATAGCTAAAATATATCAAACAGCTGAAATACCAAAAGTCATACCAAAAGTCACATGAATGAGCTGAACGTTTTCATCTATGAATTGTTGAAATAGCACAAAAATTGTGGAAGGAGTTAGATGCTGAATGCTGTGAAGCATCACACAACTAGAGAAGGAGGAACTAAAGTTACTAAACTCCAAGCACCTGATAAAAACATAAAAAACATCCTGAACTCGTACGATCTGTCTAAGCAGAATCACCTTCAGCTGGTCCAGTCTGGTTCTCATGCCCTCGGGGACGCTCTGCTGCCAGACGTCCTGAAACTCCTTCAGGTTGAACTTGACAGCGTTCTGCAGCAGCAGCAGGGCCAGACCGCGGCACACCTTATCCTCATCCAGCGCATAAAACACCTCGTCTGCRCGGAGGGACCAGCGAATGTCTGGTGTTTATTTGTTTTTAGAACTGAAACCTTACCACCAGTTAAATCATGTTTTGATTCTTTACCGTTTTCGGTGAAGCRCTTCCCGTAGCAGCTCAAACAGTGCTCGATCATCTCTCTGCCAGTTGGACATAGAATAATGCTTTTAGTCACATTATTTACTCATTTGAAACAACTCTTAAAGAGGCCTACGATCTGAACTTACCTGGGCTCCAGCGGAGCAAGTTCCTCAAGACTGGTTTGAAGGGGGACCTTGCTGAARGACCATGACTCAGAATCCACCAGCTGAGTCACGTGACTGAGCAGCTTCATCTCATAGTCCAAGTCCAGCACTCGCCAGTATCCTGAAGGAAAAAAAAAACAGATATTCTCAACTGCCCCAATAATTCAGTTTAGTTCAGATAACGTGAGGTGCACAAAGGAGCGTTATCGCAGATCCTTCCTCCCAGCTGCTGTCAGACTCTGTAACCAGCACCACGCCCAAAAATCACAACAAGTGTTTACACACCTGCTGCTGCCCCCACAATCATCTGAAACTGTTATTATTCATTGTCATTATTCATCTGAACAATCATTTGCACTTCTACTCATTTGTATTACTAATCTGAGCCATCAGTTGCTCGAACCTTTAAAAGAATTCTGCTGTAATTGCACATCTGTGTTTCTTGTCTGCACTGTCATACTTTACAGTTAATAGTCTGTTGCGATTGTTTTGCACTGAAAATAGGCAAATTATAATTACTAATGTCAAATTCTGATAGGTAACTACAGT